AAATCTGAAACACCAATAAAACAAGCCCTGATGAAATACAGTCTTCCATCTACCTCCTCCATATGGCTCAAGCAAAGTCAACTTCTAATTTCATAACACAAAATATTTAATTTATGCTTTTCTTCATATGTCAATTTAACCTCTGGCACATAGTTCTGAAACCATGTAAGGATGCCTAACACTTTCCATATGGCAACTGAATTGTGGCTTTTAATTGCACCGACTGGTATCATTCAAGGATAATTCCCTTGGAATCTAGCTTTCAACTACAGCATTGGCCAATTCACTAATCTCATCACCATGGCACTAATACTTTCAGAGACTTTTTGATTGTTAATAGTCATATTATAATTTTCCCAAACCAGAGCTGTCAAGATACACTATTTCCACCACTAATTAAATTATCTTGGTTTGTTGGCACTGAATTTCAACACTAAATAAGATTCTGTTTCTCTCTCAATATTAAATTTGGCCATTTCAATCTAAATGACATACACAACAGTTTGTGTATCAGCATACTATTTTAGTCATACCAAGATCTAGCTCTTCTGAGTCTCTTGTTTATTTTAATCCTGAAAGTCAATGGAAATAATTATCCATACAATACTGACATTAATGTACTTGAAAATATTTCAGTTTAAGAGATTAATCCAAGCAAACAAGACAGCACCCAAGGAAATTTTAATTGCTCTTGTCACAATATCAGTGAGGCAGTCTTTCAAATGTCATCTACCCAAGAGATGACCCCAAAGTAGTGCTAGAAATGAAGTCTTCCACTTCAACAGCCTTTAAGCCACAGTATATACATTGCACTAAAAAGTCTATTTCCTGTTTATTGTTTTCATTTTGGATGAATGACCTACCCAGCTGTGTTTTCCGTAAGACTATGTATTTTTATATGCACACACACATGGTATTTAACAGTGGGGAATTTTCTTTTTCTTTTTAAATTTAAGAATGATCGTGCTACAGAAGCAGTGAAGTTGACATTGGTGTAGTCTCCTCTCAGCCATGCAAGGAATGTCCATTAATGGCACTGGTGGTTACAGGCACAGAACAAAGGGAGCACAAGACCCACCTCTGAAGCAGTGGTGTGCTTCAGTATTTCATGCTGTATTATTCCCAGACCAGATACTCAACTCTAACTAATATCAATTAGGGTTGAACATGAGAAACACTAGCACTGAAGAGCCCAGCAGAAGTGGTAAGCTAAATTCTCTTCTATTTTACCTAAAATGATTACTTTCAACTTGGCTCACTGGGAGCTGGTTTGAAATTTAATTAAAAATATGACATTTTTTCCAATTCCAAGCACAGATCTCAAAGAGAAACACAAGAAACCAGTGAAATTTTTATGGCTTTGAAGATAAAAGTAAATTGAACTAAGCAAATGTCATATTTAATATTGTCAGCATAGAGCTACTTCACAGTTAAACAAACAAATACATGAATACTTGCAAACAATGTTCAACTCCAAAAATAGTTTGCAAAAGTAAACAGACAGAATAAAATTAAACTTAAGAATTATACAGAATAATCCACGGCATCAGAAAACCTTTCTGGGCACAAGTTAACTCATTCATAAAGCAGCAAAAGAAGTGTATTCAATTGCTCTAACAGATTTACAGCTCCAGTGGTTTCAATTAGTTTTGAAACTAGAAGATGACTCTGAACCTCATACTTTACATGGATGAAGCAGAAATCCATTTTTCTTTAGTTCTGCCTGATGTGGAAGGCTGCAGCCCAACCCTCATCCTCCACAGTAATTAAAACCCTTAGAGCACAGCAGCCCCTGCTGGGCGGGTGGCAATGGTTTAATGAGCTGAGCTCAGCCTAGAAGAGAAAGTTGTGTATGCACCAGAAGCATGTCTTCCAGATATGCTCCCTTTCCTCTAGCTCATGCGTTCACCCAACATACTATGAGAACATTCTCAGATGACTGATGCATTTGGCAACAGATGGACACTAATTGTTCTTCCAGTGATTTGGAAGCAGGAGACATGGATGGATGGCACACAACATGAAAAACACATCAACTGAGGGAAGAGTTTTGACCAAGAAACTCTTAAAACTTCAGGAGGGAAAAAGGTGGTGTATTCTTCAACTCTCCTTGTGTCAAACACCCCTTGAGTGAGCTGATGTAAAGACCTCCCCTTCACAACTATCATAAATTCAGTTTTTCTAGAGAGGGGCACAAACGAAAAATTTTTGCTTTCCTGTATTAGTCACTCACCCCTCTTGTAAAATGCTAGATGAATCTCCCTGAACTTCATTGTCATCTCCTCTGGATGACTAACTTCAGCAAAATCATTCAGTATCTCTATTCTTGAGGAAAACAGCCTTCCTCTAGAACCAAAACAGAATTTTTGGCTTATGCGGAGCAGCATAAGTCAAATTTCACTATCACATTCAAGTTCTAGTCAAAATTATTCAAACCTTTTAAGTTTCAGATTTGAAAGCAACTGAATGCTCTCTTCTACGAAAAACAGGTATTTGGACCTGTATACTGGATTTTAGCAGATAAGATTCAATAAAACCACCATCAACAAAACTCTGGTTAAGGATCCCTAGGAGAAATTATTTCTTGGACCATTATTTTTTTAAAACTCACTGGACGTTTCTCTGAATGCAGATATTTTCATCAGTGTTTGGTCTAACTCTTTCTGCTGTAAATCACAAGCTCAGCAATGAGAAGCCAAAGTTTCAGCTGTGACACAACAAAACTGCACCATTCTACAGAGTCCTGGAAGCTTACTGAACATTTTAGGAAGAATTTTGAAGTAGTAAGAGCCCTCGGTCAATTCAAGTGCACCAGTACTACATTATTGGGGAATACACAACTGTCCCACACAATCTCAAATGACTAACTGTTACAAGAAGTGACTGCTATTGCTACATCTTGAGGTGAACAAAGAGCCAAGAGGTTAGGCTACAATTCTCTTTGTATCTTGGTATAATTATACAAGAGATCAAAGAGATTTCAGAAGAGAAACAGTCATGCAATCTCACAGCAAATAGCTGAGACTCCATAATCCTTGTTAAAAAGACTGTACATATGGCACATCTGGTTCCAATGTAGGATTAGAAATGCACCCTTCCATATTACAAAAAGAGCATATTTTAGAGGAACTTTAATGTAGCTGTCACAGTGTGCCTGTGACAGGATGACAATTAAACTAAGTCAATTAGCAAGCGATATATGCATGCAGATACTACCCAATATATTAGGCAATAAATTTATATTTTCAAACATTCAGCAACAGCTCTATCAGGATGACAGTAAAAAGCCTCATGGGAACACTGCTTTTAAACATACTTAAACCTATTTACATTATTATAATGTACTAAAACTGTAGACTAATTTTTAGTTAATGGCTTGCTAATTGCTGAGCTATCATGAGTAAAAGGACACCTTAAGAAGAGAAATACTGTCTCTCCAGCTGAGCATACCACATAGAAATGAAAACTGAAGTTTTGTGAATAAAAAAGTATCTCCGACAAAGTTGGGGTTTTTTTCCTTCTTGTCAGAAAACAAACTGTATTTGTGGAAGAAAACACATTTCACAAAGCTAAAGTCAGAGTTTTTTGCCTTTAACTCTTGCATTTTAAACCCATATTTAGTTTGGTGAGTTGAGCTTCTTTTGTAGAAAATGTGTATTTGAAAGGTAGAACATATTCAAAAAGCTTGAGTTACTAAAATGGGGATAATGAAAAGAATTAAAAGCACATGGGTTCACTCTTTGTGTCTGTTTCACACATCTATGTACCACTGTTGATGAGACCTTCATTCTTTGGACACATTGTCTCCAAGTAAAGCACAATAAAAACCACTTCAACCAACCACACCTGCAAGTTGCACATGAGGTGATTAAGCTCATCAAACAAACACTTGCACCACCACCACCCCTTCATCCCCCACCCCCCACCCCGGTCTTACTTCTTCCAAACTTATCCTCCCTTAAATACAATACTGGTGGAATCTAATAACTATTATCTTTTCCCGTACGCATCTTCTACACACTTTAACACCCAATACAATGAAGTATTTTCCACTTGCGAGATAGTTTTTCCTGAGACATGGAAAGTCCAGGCTTCTGACAATAAAACTGGTGGCTAACAAAGCAAAGAGCCTGCAGGAGGTTTGGTGGCCAGGCTCTGCTTGTGCTTTCAGAGCCACATTCCTTGCTGGGAAGCACAGATTCCAATCTCCCCATCTCTCAGGTTACTTTTCCACTGATGAAGCTTTCAGGGCTTGATTCAAAGCTCTCAGAAGTCAATGGAAGTCTTTCAGTAAACATCAATAAGCTCTGTATCATACTCTGAAACACTATGAGGACCATATCTATGAACTGTTAAGTCTGTTTACCTCCCATCATGCCTTCTTGTTTAAAGAGACAACATTAAGAAGGAAAAAGGAAAAAAAAAAAAAAAAAAAGGCAACTTAAACTTTTCCACCAGCTCAACTTTACACAAAAAGACCAGAAGCAAGAGGAAGGGTGGCCAGTGTGCTAACTGCCAGGACAAGCAACATGTGCAACGACTCTTATGGAGAAAGCCTGCACCCCATTATTAGCAAAGAGCAAATAAATAACGAGTCGTCGGGGACTTCCCCTTTCCAGAATTCCTCTGCCAGAATGTCACAGCCGAACTTGTACACCAATCAGGGTGCACAAGCTTGCACGCACTGGCAGGGTGCTGGGCTTTGCCCGGAGATTGTTCCTGTTTGTGAAGGGGTTTGTTCTAATCGTAGTGAGGGCAGGTTCTCTTACTCCTCTGGCTTTTGTGCCAGCATAAAGTTTGCTCCGCACCTCCTAACTTCATCAAAGGACTGAAGGAAGCCACCCACGGTGCAGCCCTCTGGAGCAGCACTGGGGCAGAGCAAACCCTGACTTTGCACAACCGACCCTTGGGAGGGAGAGAGGGATGTAGAAAGAGGTTTTGGTTTTCCCCGTTTCAAGAAGGAGGGACGGGGGGTGGGGGCAGCAAGGAAGCTGACATACCCTGGAGCTGGCGAGCCTGCACACAGCCCGGTGCTGGCAGCCTTGCTGGAGTCCCGAGCTGCTGCCTCCGCTGCTGCCCCCGGAGTATTTCTGCTTCACCATCCAGTCCTCCAGCCCTCTGCGAGCCAGAGAAGCGTTCACAGCAAAACTATCACCTAGGAAAGAGGAGACAATGCCGCCGCTGAGGCGCCCGCAGAGCCCGCCCGGCCCCCGCGGCCACCGGCATCCCCCGGAGCCGGGGCAGGATCGCGCAAACCGCGGCGGAAAGTTGAGGGGACAGGGCAGGGGGCCCGGGGCAGGCACCCAGAGCAGGGGAACGCGTTCAAAGTTACTAGCAGCAAGCAACCATCCCTACCTTCTGGACTTTCTCGGGGTTTACAAACGGCAGCTAGGCAGATCCGGAGGAAAGTGTGTGGGGGAAATAATAAAGGAAGATCATTAGACACCAGTATAAAATCAAGCAACAAACCGAGTAAAATCCGAATGAGGGGAAGGGGCTAAGGAAGTAGCAAGTGAAAGGAACTAACCATGTTTCGAGTGAAGTTTCCCCATCTCTCTGCATTGATCTGCAATTACGATTCATTTGACTGCTTTCAGTAGGGTCAGGTTGGCTTCTTGTTGTGGTTTTTTTTTTTTGTTGTTGTTTTGTTGTTGTTTTTTTTTTTTTTTTTGTAGATCTATAAAATCCCAGCGTGTTTAGAAATCCATGTGCTCCGCTTCCCCTGCTCAGGCACACATGAGATCAGAGCTGGAGTCCTCTCCTGCAGTAAGGTCCGGCGTTCCCCGCTCCGCTCCAGTCTTCCTCCTCTCTCCTCTCTTTCCCAAAGACAGAGGCGGTTACAAAAGACCTTACTTCACCCACCGGGGAACATGATTGACACCTCATTGAGATTAGACCACTTGCAGGCAGCCTCCGCCTTCCCATTGGGCCGCGGCGGCAGATGAAAGGGGCTACGGAGCTTTTTGGAGGCTAAAAAAAAAAAAAAAAAGAAAAGAAAAAAAAAAAGAGAGGGAGAAAGAGAAAAGAAAAAGGAGCAGCCGGGGCGCGTTTCACTTCCAGCCAGGCACGGGCAGCGGGGCCGGCCCGCTCTGCTCCCCGTGCAGCTCCGCGGGGTGCACACAATGAGCCGCGCTGTCCCCGCAGTCCCGCTCAGCGAGCGGCCCCGGTCGTGTCCGGGGCAGCGCCTTCTTCCGCAGACTCCCGTGGAACCCCGGCGGGCAGCTGGCACTGCGCGGTGCAAAGCGGTTACCCCGCCCGGCGCAGGCTCTGGCTCGCAGGCGCCGCTCGCTCGGCGGGGTGCCGGAGGGAGCCTGGCTCCCGCGCTGCTGGCGAGCTGGCCCCGTCACCCGGGGCACTGGGACACGGTTCCGGGGTGCTCCTGACCCGCCCGAGTCCCTCCTTAGCAGTATCTGGACCACGAAGGAAAACAGCACGTCCGGTAAAGCAGTTGTACGGTTGACTTAGTCCTCAAACTGTGTTGTACGGGCATCCCTCTGCGCAGAAGGGATCCTACCGAGTCCCTGTTAATGCCAAAACGGAGTTCTCGGGGTCAAATCCAGAACCCTTTCTCTGTGACTCAGTGCTGGCAGTAGCGGGACAAAATCTCTATCAGCATTGTAATAATAAGTAGACTGGTTTCGGATGGGATGAAGTTAATTTTCTTGCTTGGATTTAAACCAGGACGACAACGATGATGGTGATGATCAGTCACCATCAATGATAATGATAATAATAACAATGATGATGATAATAATAATAGTATCTTGAAATAACCTCCCTTTCTCCTCCAGTCTATTCATGATACATTTTTTACATATAGAATAAACTAAACGGAAACTTGCTGTTTCATAAGGACAACTCTCACAGTCATTAAGCATTTTCTTTCTTCCTCTGGCTGGTCATTACGTTTCTGTTTATGAAAATCACATCTCCCTTGAGATCCTTGTAGTTCAACTAGGAGAGATAAAAGGCAATGCGTAGTAGAGTCAGAACAAGAAAAAACGAAGGCTTCTGAGAATTTTCCTGAAGAAACTACTAGTCAAACTATACAGGGATTGACCCAGATGAGCCTGGTCCAAAAACTTCAAGGCCACATCTGTGCTTTCAAATCCATATGTTTCAAGCACAGGGAGGAAGGAGTTAGACTTGGGAGCGCATCTGAAAGAAAAATTCAAAGCATATGTAGTAACACTTCTGCAGGGAATTGGGATGGGGAGAGGAGGGCGAGGCTTGGAGCTCAGTTTTAGAAGGAATTCCAAAGCACATGGCTGTGGTGAAGGGCGGGTATGGAGCGACGCAGCACAGCCAGTCGAAAGCCGTTAAATGAACCATTTAGAGCCAAATTGGTCTTTGGATGACTGCAAAGTCGTTTCTCACATTATTTCAACTATTTATCTGTCTAGCAAAGAAAACACTTGTGTTGTGAAATGCAGCCATTTCAACAGCATCAATTGCTTGTCAAAGAGCGAATCACATGAGTGTTTTGTGAATCTCCTTTTAAATGTATTTTAATAATTCATTTGGCCCATTTTTATGTAGTGCATTTAAAGTGACATATTTGTTCCTTTGAAGATTGCCTCTTGTTTTAGGGAGAAAGAAGGGAAGAAAGAGGCTTAGATGAAGCAGACTCCTTGGGACATGAGCCTCACCTAGGCTGTGAAAACTTGTAAAAACTCTCTAATGCATATGAACAAATTTGAAATTGTAATACCTATTTTCTCCTCAGCTTACTGTTTTTTAACTTCTGTGGCAAATGTTTTATTTGGGATATCACTTATCTTCACTGTTTATGAGATAGAACACCATAGATTAAGTGCCCCCCAATGGTATGGATTTATTAACTGATTTTGTGAAGTGGTGCCCCCATCATTCAGCTCTTGGGAACAGAATGAGGTCTTAGGAACGTCATGAGTTCAGCAGCTCTGAACCAGTGACTGGGAGAAGAAGCCCTTGCTTTCACAACGGATTACAGAGGTCCACTTGTGTCCCCATTACAGAGATGAAGGGACTTGCATTTGTAACACAGTCCCTGTTGTGCAGCTCTGCTTGCCCATATGCAACATTTGTTAGAGTTTAAATCAAGCCCTTTTTAATTACAGCCAGTGACGTACCCTGCAAACCAAGATTTGCACAGGAGAGGCAAACTGGCTAAAAAATCCCAAATGTCAGTGACTGACTGCATAAGATGGGAGTCAGGGTTGCAATGCTTGGGCTTAGGAGTTACACAAATACAGGCTGGCTACATTATGGTGAGTAGGAATCACAACGGCAACTATTCCTTTCTCTGAAAGAGAGTTTTAGCTACTAATAAAGGGTCAAATCTTGAGATTCTTAGCATGGTTTTCAGTTGATTTCAGGAGGATTTAGCATGGTATGGCAACTGATCAGGGACCTCAGGATGTGACTCAGTAGAATTATAATGATCCCCAAAACTATAGGGACCTCAGGGGACACAAAGCCTTTTTTTTTTCCTTCCATGGAGCCAGAAGTGTGTTAAGTAGTGACGTCAAGTAAAATATTAGGGTAAAATACACCATTCATAAAACTGTAGTAATGGTTAAAGGATCTCTAATTCAACCCAGTGACCTCAGTGAAAGCCGTGATGTACAGTATTATTCATTGCCCTTTCATTAGCGCTGACTACACTGTACATTTTCAGAGGATGAAAAAGCCTTTTGAACCTTGATATACTATGAACTAGTTGATGATAGGAAATAAATGTATCCTAGCCAAGGAACAAGTGAGTAAGACCATTCTGGGAATTAATTTTCAATATTCAATAGCATAGTAAAATTAATGACAGTACCTGGCAATAGCAAGAGTTATATCATTAGATTATCAATTAGATTGAGAACCCTGTGTGTACTGAAGGTTGTTCTGATGTTCGGACAGAGTTGAGTACTCCTATGCAGTCATATAAGCCAAACCAACCCATGTTTGATTCTGTGTTTGCATATTAGCTGTAGAACAACAGGCAAAAATACATATTAGCCTAGTGTATGATGAGGTAAGAGAGCATTGAAAAGGTGCAATTCAACATGTACCTAAAGACAGCCAAACACAGTAAAAAGATGTGGAGACCTCATAGCAGCCTTCCAGTATGTGAAGGGGGGCTATAGGGATGCTGGAGATGGACTATTCATTAGGGACTGTAGTGATAGGACAAGGGGTAACGGGTTAAAACTTAAACAGGGGAATTTTAGATTGGATATAAGGAGGAAATTCTTTCCTGTTAGGATGTTGAGGCACTGGAATAGATTGCTCAGGGAGGTTGTGAATGCTCCATCCCTGGCACTGTTCAAGACCAAGTTGGACAAGGCCTTGGGTGATATGGTTTAGCGTGAGGTGTCCCTGCCCATGGCAGGGGGGTTGGAACTTGACGATATCAAGGTCCTTTCCAACCCTAGCTATTCTATAATTCTATGATTCTATGTGTGAAAACATGCGTGCTAAAACCAGTTGTTTAAGTGCCAGTGTAGAAACACCACACTACACCACACTAATGGTGGACCTGCCTTTAGACCTGGTAGATGTAGTCAGAGATCACGTAAGACACAGACCTACAAAAGCAGCCTGTCATGGCAAGCTCATAAATAGTTGATGGGATTCACCTCCCCATTACGCACACTCAAAAGTCTGTACAGACGGAGAAAGCCCAGCCCAGCCCAGCACACCAGGCATGTGGCAGAACCACTACTGCCCAAGGCAGAGAGGGGCTATGCTTGGTGCCCAGGACAAGGCATCACTGGTACACCCCTTCTACCAGGCTTCTGTGTCCTGTGTGGAGGAGCAAAGGGAGGAAGGCAAATAGGCATGATGGACAAAAGAATCACACTGATTTCCCTGTGTGGGTAATGGGTAAGTGGCAGGAAACTGATTTCTCATTTTTCAGCTTTATCTCCTTTCTTTTCTTCCCCTCTCTTGCCATGTTCCCATCCATCTGAAGATTAGAAGAGTTTGGGATTGGCCTCACAGGGTCTCATATGGGTGTTGTTCTTGTCCACCTGGAAGCGGCATACAGGTCATGCTAGACCACCACCAGCAGAAGTGAGGGTTGAACTGTGTTTTTTAAAGTGGGGAAAAAAAAAAAAAAAAAACAAACCAACATGTAATTCTCAAAAAACAGTGCACACAGGGGCAGAGAAATGTAAACTATGCTGCTCCTCCTCTGCAGCAAACAATCTATGTCTACATTTTACAAAAGTGTTTTAAGAAAAGGCTGCTCAGTTGTGAAAGGAAACACATATAATTGCATGTTTTCAAAGATGCTCTGGTGCTCTCAGAACCATTGTCAGAGACAGCCTGAAATATATCTAAGCTCTTAAGTTTTCCAGGATCCAGCTGAAAGAGGATGTTGAACCACATCCCTCTCAAAATCTCAGAGGGTCACAAACCACATCCAGCCTCCATTTCAGCTGCTTTCTAATCAATCCCCTTTTACTCCATCAATAAGGAATTGCCCTTTGAACTGCAATGATACCTCTTTAACAATTGCTTCAATTACTACCTTGCATTTGGGGTCACAATCCTGCTCTTACAGATATAACCAATCCTTTTAATAATATTTAAATTTTGGTTTGGTGACCATATGAGTGCTTTGATCTTTCACTACCAACACAC